TGGTTTGATCTAAAAGGGTTCTAAAGTCTCAAGGTTTTTTAGCAGCCCCCCGACCACTTATGTGAGTCCCCTCTTGATCCAGCGATGTTCACAAGAGCCGCGGTTCTCCAGGGACTCTCACTCCTGATTGGCTGAGGCAGCAGCGGGAGCCATTGGCATTCACAGGCAGCGAGCCATTCAGGAGAAGGAGGGGGCAGGCCAGAGCCACGGCTCTGTGTGTGAATGGATACGCAGAGCCACGGCTCGGGAGCGCGCCTGCTCGGGTGCCCCCATAGCAAGCTGTTTGCTTTGGGGGCACCGACAAGAGAGAGGGGCCAGGAGGGAGGGGCCAGAAGCGATGGCAGCGGACCCAAGAAGAGGAGGATGCAGTCTGCTCTGTGCAAAACTACTGCACAGAGCAGGTAAGTATGACATAATTGTTATTTTTAAGAGAAAAAAAGGACTTTAGTATCACTTTAAGTTTTGTATAGTTATCTGGTTTGGTTGGTGAACTAGTTAGCGTTTTGGGATGATGAGTATTTTGGGGAAATCTGTGTTTAAAATATTGTTATAGTTGCAAGGAGAAATATTTTATTGTTATGGTTATTGCAGAAAATCATTGAAGCTCACAAATTGAAATGGAAAGGTAATTCAGGTTGAATTACGAAATTGCTTCTGTTGCAGCTATATATAACTTTTAATAATACTGCCCAAAAGCCCTGTGCAGTTTGTTGATATACACAAATATTGATTGACTGATTTATTATGTGACATAATTCAGCACTGTTGATTTTCAAAGTTGGCCTTTCAGTGTTCAAAACAAGTCAAACTCCTAAAGATGTCCAAGTGTCTCTAAAATCCCTAACACTAAAGCACATCATAATCTTTTAACCAAACAAACTCATAACACCTAGGGGTAAATTTAAAAAGCAATGTATCTGACATTCATAAAACATTTACTGCATGTGAATTTTCCAGGTGCATGTGTTTAAATGACAGTTACTTTCACTGCTTTCTTAATATACCCTTTTAAAGTATATTTCCATTTTTGCACTCAGATTTTAGAATTGCCCTCTTTGTGTTTGTTATCTGTTCCCATTCACACAGCATACCTAAAAGTAATTTTAAAAATGTTTTCTTATCTTTCTAGTTGTTGTTCTGGAGCAGGATTATACTCAGGACTGAAAGTTATTGTGAACCATTTCAGAGTAAAGATGGTCATAAATAGGTCAGTTTTTTTGTTCAAACAGTTGGATGAATGAAAAAAAAAAGGACCTGATTCCCCGATTCACACATTTGTGACGGATGGGGAAATACCCTCACTGATCTATTGTATTCTGACAGTGGGGAGACTTCCCCATCATCAGAATACACTGATCAGCACTGCTGGCTATAGCTAGCTATAGCTTGTAGCACTGATCGATCTGCATTTTTCTGGTTGTACAGAAGACTGGTTGTACAAAAGCCAATCTACTGATTAACTTCTGTACAACCAAAGTGTCCATCCATGAATCAAAATTCAGCCAATCCCTGTGGGACTGGCCAAATTTTGATCAAGTTATAGCTGGCTTAATAAAAAAGTAGAGACACAGTTTCCCTTCATTAACATACAATGCAGAATCCAAACCTTGGCGCAAGGAAAGGTATTATATTTGTACATATTACGTCAGCTTTAAGCTACCTCCAAACACGGTAGAAAAAAACATAACACTCCAAAACTTAAGCCAGCCATAGAGAGTTTGAATCTCGGCCAGTTCAGCAGGGACTGGCCAAGATTCGAACCATGTATGGGCAGGCTGAATGTACCCAAGTTGAATGATCAATCAACTTGGGTACAACCAACCTGTCGGATGTTATATGCAATTATTGCTAGCAGCTATTATAGCTGCTAGCAGTAATCACTGTGTTCTCCCAGTGGGGACAGCTACTTACACCCCTCCCCCCCCAAGCCAGAAGAACACAACAGCTCAGTGGGAGGTATTCCCCAAACAACACTGATTGTGTTGCAGGAAAGAAAATCTTTCCATCTATGGTTGGCTTTAAAATTTAGAATCCAACACCAGCAAGGGGACATTTGATTTTGAAGAACATTTGATTTTGCCCCATTCTCACAGAATGATTTCACATACAGTTTTGATGGATGAACAGCTATGAGAATTTTTTATAAATACACCTCAACAAACTACATTTTTGCAACTTACAAGTTTGTAAATTGTATCAAAAGCTGTTCATATAAGGTAACCAGTATTTGATTATTATCTCATCATTATATATATATAGATCTGATTGGTTGCTATGCTACTGCATTTTGTACATACTTTTTGGCATACTGGCCTTAATAAGTATATAGGATTTTGTCATTAAGCACAGTTGTTTAAGATGCATTCTAAAGGGTATATGTAACTTTCTTTGTTATGTTAATTATGCACACTAATGATTGTATTATTAATTACTGTCCACATTTTTGCTTGCTGCCATTAGGTTCCATATGTAGCTGTGTACAATTACTTACAGTTGTCTACAGGTTACTTATATAGAAACAGCAAGCCATGGTTCCAGTGTTTCCTAATATAAACAAAGGGGTTGATTTACTAAAACTGGAGACTGCAAAAGCTGGTGCAGCTGTGCATGGTAACCAGTTAGCTTCTAACTTCAGTTTGTTCAATTAAGCTGTTACTGATTGTTTTTTTAGGCAGAGCTGGACCAGATTTTGCACTCACTTTTCAGTTTTAGTAAATCAACCTCCAAGTCTCTTCAGGAGCCTATACAAATATTAATAAATTCTAGTATCCCCCATGCTTTGAGTTATGGGATTATATATATATATATATATATATATATATATATATATATATATACACATATATATATATTTTTTTTTTATTTTGCCAAAAGTGTTGGGACACCCCTCCATAACATTGGATTCAGGTGTTCCAATCACCTCCATGACCACAGGTGTATAAAATCAAGTACCTAGGCATGCAGACTGCTTCTACAAACATTTGTGAAAGAGAGGGTTCCTCTCAAGAGTGCAGTGAATTCAAGTGTGGTGCTGTGATAGGTTGCCACCTGTGCAATAAGTCCATCCGTGAAATTTCCTTTTTTGCAAATATTGCACCTGTCAACTGTTAGTGGTATTACAACAAAGTGGAAGCAACCGGGAACAACAGCAACTCAGCCACAAAGTGGTAGGCCACGTAAAATGACAGGGGGTCAGCGCATGCTGAAGTGCACAGTGTTCAAAAGTTGCCTACTGTCTGCAGAGTCGATAGCTAAAGACCTCCAAACTTCATATGGCCTTCAGATTTGCACAACAACAGTGCGTAGAGAGCTTCATGGAATGGGTTTCCATGGCCGAGCAGCTGCATCCAAGCCTTACATCACCAAGTGCAATGCAAAGTGTTGGATGCAGTGGTGTAAAGCATGCCACCACTAGACTAGAGCAGTGGAGACATGTTCTCTGGAGTGACAAATCACGCTTCTCTGTTTGGCAATCCAATGGATGTGTCTGGGTTTGGCGGTTGCCAGGAGAACAATACTTGCCTGACTACATTGTGCCAAGTAGGGGGATTATGGTGTCCATTTGTCATTCAGGGGTTGGACTTTGCCCCTTAGTTCCAGTGAAGGGAACTCTTAAGGCGTCGGCATACCAAGACATTTTGGACAATTTTATGCTCCCAACTTTGTAGGAACAGTTTGGGGATGGCCCCTTCCTGTTCCAACATGACTGCGCACCAGTGCGCAAAGCAAGGTCCATTAAGACATGGATGAGCGAGTTTGGGGTTGAGGAGCTTGGCTGGCCTGACAGAACCCCTTTGGGATGAATTAGAGTGGAGACTGTGAGCCAGGCCTTCTCATCCGACATCAGTGACTGAGCTCACAAATGCGCTTCTGGAAGAATGGTCAAACATTCCCATAGACACACTCCTAAACCTTGTGGACAGCCTTCCCAGATGAGTTGAAGCTGTTATAGTTGCAAAGGGTGGGCCAACTCAATATTGAACCCTATGGACTAAGACCGGGATGCTATCAAAGTTCATGTGCATGTAAACGCAGGCATCCCAACACTTTTGGCAATATAGTGTGTATGTGTGTGTGTGTAAAGAAATAATGATAGCTGTCCTTTAAAAAATAAAAATGTATGCCTTGGTACAAATTGACTTGTACCACTCCTGCTATATTTATGATCTCTTGTACTGAACAGCAGCTTCTGTAATCAAGTAACACTTGCATTCATGTCTCGATTGCTACAAAAGCCAATAAAGCATAAAAAATAGACAATTGTAGACATAAGTTGAAGATACATTTAAGCCCTTTTGTCCCTTTAAATGTTTTCTTAACTTTTTTTGGAGCTTCAGAGGTTTACAGGTGGTTTGATCATTCTACTTTTGTGGAAGCTGCATGTGGATTGCTTTACTGTATTGCCTAATAATTGTTATGGTTGTGAATTAAAAAAAAAAATAGAACAAAAACTTACAAAGTTGAATTTAATGAAATGGAACCAGTTCAACCTCTGGTTTCACAAATGGAGCACATATAAATTGGCTTAACAATTCACTTAACACACGTGATGCAGTGGGATGAAAAGTAAAGTAAAAGCTCAGACACTTCCCACCACTAAAAACCTGATGACCTCCAATGCCATTATTTTTTTCTTGCCAGTTTACATGCACTAATAGTGCCCAGTGACTTGAAGACTTTTCACTGATTTTTTTCTTGCCATGCTCTAGTACATCATTTGTGAAACTACAGACGTTGGCTGTCCAAACGTGAGACAGGTATGTAAGAATGTCCTAGAATGTAATTTTGTGTATATTACAAAATAAAGCTTGGCAATTTTGATACGGTCTGACTCACCACCCTGTTTTTTTTTTCTCCTTCCCATGTCCCCCAATTCCATTTTTTTCTCCTATTTTTAATCCTTTTGCTTTTTTTTTTTTTTACCTATTTTTTTTTTTGTTTTTCAACTTCCTCCATTTATATCATACCATTTATCCCCACCTTTTTCCTCCTCATTTCAGTGTCTTTAGATGAAGATGATATCACAGCTGAGCTGAATCGGGAACAGAATGAGAAAACGATTCGTAGCACACAAACAGCCCTACGCAACTTCAGAGACTTTATTATCTCCAAATACCCCATGGAGACCAGAGAAATATACATGATTCCTTGCAAAGAATTAGATGACTACCTGGCTTCTTTCTTTGTGGATGCTAGGCAGAAAGATGGATCTGAGTATGAGCCAAACAGCTTAGCCAACTATCAGTGTGGCTTGGAAAGATACCTGAAGGAGCACCGATATAACTATAGCATTACCAGAGACAAAGAGTTCAAAAGGTCTCAAGAAGCCTTAAAACAAAAGCAAATTGAACTAAGATGTAAAGGAAAAGGAAATAAACCACACAAGTCCATGAAACTCACCTTTGCTGATGAACTTATCCTTAGAAAGAGAGGCCTATTAAGTCGATATAATCCTGAGGGTCTACTGAATCTTGTTTGGTTGAATAACACAAAAGCTTTTGGACACTGCACTGGCTTTCATGGCTCAACACTTAAATGGGGGGATGTCAGACTTCGAGTACTAGAGACTGGACTTGAATTTCTTGAGTGGATGGGCCAGGAAAGCCCTGATGCTAAGATCAAAAGAGCAGGGACAGAATGCAGAGTTTATGCCACACCACATTCACCACAAACTTGCCCTGTTCAGGATTACAAAGAATATGCGCAAAGGCGACCTCCAGCAATGCGGTATGAGGATGCTCCTTTCTATCTGTCCATCAAGCCTGTGGTCAACTTAGCTGCTCTTCATTGGTACAACTGCCAAGCACTTGGCAAAAATAAATTAGCCAAAATGGTGAAAACAATGTGTGAAAAGGGTAACATTCCTGGAAGGAAAACAAATTTCAGTGTGTATCAAAGTTGTAGCACCCTCTCAGAAGCCCAAAGCAATCAGCTGGTGCTAATCTGTAATAATTTGAGCCAGCAAGCTGCCCAGTCTATGGCTAGTCACTCTGGGACAGGAAACTTTATTGTTTCAGCCTCTTATGACTCTTCCTCGGACACTGCCTGAGCAGTAACTGTGATAGGATAGTGCCAAGACTTCTTTAGGACTGGTTCTGAATTCTAAACTGTGATTTATGTTTGACCAGCCTGTTCTCACTTATACAGTGAATTCACTTTAAAAACAGAAATAAAATGTGTTATATTTATATTTTTTTGTTTTCATCACAGATCTCTTAATAGACCTAGTTTTTGTATTGCACTTAGGATATTATTTATATTGTAGTGTTCAGCCAAAATGCATGTCATAGTCCTGACAAGGAAACAAAAATGAAAGCAGCTGTTACAAGAATAAAAAGAACTTAAACAGACTGATAAGAAAACCCAAGTAATATGTTTGCCTTGACTGAGGACACAGCACAAATGGCTAAAATGTCAAATAAGGGTGCTATTATTATAAACTTTAATCCTTGAAGAAGCGACTTGAGTTGGCTCAGCTGCAAGCTCCTGAATGCCTGTCTGATGGGAAATGAGGAAATAATACTGATTTAGCAGTATATATAGCGGCCTTTTTATCTTCTGCACTTAATTAAATTAAGAAACTTTGGCTCTCTTTCTGTATTATTCAGACATTGAAAAAGTTTTACTTTTTTTTTTAAATTAATATTTTATTTTTTGGAAATGTGTAGGATTTGTACGATTGTAGCACTGGGACAGGAGTTCATTTATAGCAATATGCAGTGGTGTCCATGGCATAAAGACTGTTCTTCAATGCATCTGCACTGTGGTGAGCCTGAGCTCAGCCACAACTGAATATGTTTGTCTAAATATGTTTGGGTCTCTGAGGCATGTAAAAACTACTGAAATGTCATGTTTTGACCTCCAAATACAAAAAAAAAACTCTGTGTATTTGCTGTGTGATGTCAAGTGTCTTCTGTGATCACTGTTTCTTATTGAATTTTCTTAACCTTTCTGACACATTGTCAAACAATGACAATTATTATTTATTAAAATCCACATACAATTAACAGACCAAAATGTCAGGGTTGGTCTTTGTTCTGCACCCCGAAACAATCAAACATAACCATCAAACGTTATTAATTTTAAATATAAAGCTTATAAACTTTCAGAATATATTCTGTTAAATTGGTGGTGCGAAAGACAACTCCAAACAGAAGTCAAAAGTAAGTTTCAGTATGTGTGCCTGTTACTGAACAAAGTAAGCTTTAGCTTTCATACAGACACCTAGAGTTTGCTGAATATAACTTCAGCAATTCTGAAACCCTAATGCCACAATACAGTGATGGACAACTAACTTAATATAGGGGGCTCAAGTGTGGCCACTGATATCGCTAAAGGGGCTGCACATCCCTTTCTGTTAGAAAAAGGAGGCTGCACTTAATTTTCAGTGAATGTAATGCTACAGAAAACTGTCATGCTATGAGAGATGTTCAGAGACTTCAGGCATGCTATAAGAGTTTTTGGAGACTGGAAACATGCTTCAAGAGACAGTCATAGTCTGGATCCACTGGGTATGTTGCTGGCATTCCTTGTCAGCATTTTAAAAAGGCAGGTTTATTGATTACATTAGTTATGATAAGCAATGTTACAGAGTCACCACAAGGGCCCTTTTATCTTAGTGGCCTAATGAAGGAGCTTTTGTGGTGATTCTGAAACATTGATTGTGTTAACTAATGTGATCAATAAAACTGCCTTTCAAAACCCTGAGAAGAGGCTAGTAACATAACCAGTGTATCATATTGATTGTGTCAGAAAGCCAATGGTCATTGGTTATTGAAACATCTGATCTATCAAGGTCAGTGCACTGTATAGAATGCAATTGAACCCCTTCTGCAAATCATAGACTGGAGACATAATATATGAGACTGCTAGAGGTTATTGCTCTTACAGCCTCTTTATAAATCAGCATTTGAGCTCCATACATCCCCACTAAAAAATACTTCTGTGAGCAAGATATATAATAAAAACATAAACAGAGGAAAGGAATGGGCATCACAAGAAAAAATATTACGGTATAAAAGAAATACATCAAACTATATCCACTATAAGCCAGTCTAAGAAATATTTTTCCTTCACTAGCTTGAGTAAGCATCTAGCTAAGTAAAACATTGTTTACTGCGGGCAGGGGTTCTAAGATCCAGAACAGTATGTGAAATAGGGCTGGGGGCTAGGCACCAGTTTGTGTTCTGAGCATTAGTTCCTGGGCACATACTGCCCTCTATTTAAGTACCACTAGGTGCACCGTCCAGCCACAGCCTCTCCTAGAGTTTTACAGGCTGCTTGCAACAGGGCTGTATGGTGTACCTATGTCTTCCACTCACTCTAAATAAGCGAGCATGGGGCCTTTGGAGAAATTGTCAGTTCAGCCTTTAACACTATCAGAAAGTTGCCTACTTTTGAAGACCAGATGCAAATGTGGCGGCCAGATGCAAATGTGGCATCTGGGCCTTGACGCCGAGCGACCGCACATTTGCGTGCAATTAACAAAAACATATGTGCTGAGAGCGGAAAGGTCCCGATCTGCTCTTTCGATCGGGACCTTTCCCGATCATGTGACCGCCGTGACAGCGAATCATGGTGGTCACATGACCTTAAACCCTGCCCCGCCTCCCGGCTTCTGAAACCCTTAAAGGGCCGGGAGGCGCCGGCGCCAAGGGGTTAACCTTTATTACAAAGCAGTGGTTGCAAGGCTTTCCTAAATTTCTGAAAGACATTGAAATGCCCCAGAACTGGTGGATCACAGAGGGGTCCCCACTGTTCACAACCTCCTTGGAAACACCTGTTCTATTGTTGCTTACAGGGCTCAGCATAGCATTAGTATTAGTATTTGAAATAAGTTTGTATGCACATAACATAATTGTGTCTTATGGCCACTGCTATATTTGTTTTCCAAAGTCAGAACTGTAAAAATTTTTTTTTTTGGCGAGGCCAGGAATTTTAGAATAGTAAATATTCATTTGGAATTACTTCTAGAAGGATCACTCAGTCTTGATACTGCTTATATCCTGGTGATTGCTATATTGTATTTTAGAGTGTAAGCTCTAATGAGCCTGAGCATAAGGACAAGGTCAGTGCAGGGACCACACTAAGCAGGGGCAATAATGTGGGACAAATCAGACTTGGTGAGGAGAGATGGAGCCTGTGTGTATTGCCTCCAAGGCTCTGCTGCCTGTTCATTATTAACTTTCCTGCTTGTCCCCAAAATCAACTGCCTCCCTCTGTACTGCCTGTACCAGCCATCAACCTCCCCCTCTCCATACTGCCTGTCCCCATCATCACCTCCCTCCCTGTGTACTGCCTGGTCCCACCATCAAATGCCTCATTCTGTATTGCCTGTCCCTACCAAAAACTGCCACTCTAAATTGCCTGTCCCTCTTTTCATTTGTGCTGCTTGTTTTTTCCTATCATTGACAATAATGCAAAGACATTTTGCTCACACTGATGCTGGGTCAATCCTTTGTCACTGTTAGCAGTATTGTGTGGGTACAAGGACTGCAGCATATTTGTTCAGTGTATACAGTGAATAGGCACAAAAAGTTAACTCAGAAGGAGAAAGTTGGCATCATGGGGACCCATGAGCAGCATTTGGTAGCTAGTGTACCTTTACAGGCATACATACCCAAATGAAATCTATATAAGTTCTCATAATTTTCACATTTAAATTTATATATTTGCGGAGATAATGTGAAGTATCGGTTTATGTCCCAAATTCTACTACCAGTTGTATAAGACTATGTGCGCGCTGTCGTCAATAGAAGAAACAGTACATGGTTACAGCCTCATCAGTTGTAAACATTCTTATTGAGTCATCCAGAAATGTGTAAATATAGCTATTTAAAGCTCCCGAGTTCTTTCCAAAATGTCTAATGAACCATATAATCAGCATGAAATATGTTCTAGATATATTTGGACAGAGCCATATGCTTAGAGAAAACTATCAAACCAACCAATGTATAATTTGGTGAAACGTTACTGGCTATTTGAGTCTATGTCTATACTTTAATAAATCTGCTATAAGTCTGTGCTGAGACGTTTTCAACTTTCATAATTCATATACTGGGAAGATTTTACCTACTTAATTCATATATTGTGGAGTTTACATCTACAGTACTTAAACCTTCATATACTAAGGAGTTTATCAATTTAACAACTCAAAATCATCTTTACTACAAAAGACACAATATGTACAATTTGAAATTTATATGCCAGTTAGGGAAATTTGTTCGCTGGAAATGAACTTAGGAATCTTATCATGTTTAAGTAGAGTCATAAACGTTGTTGCTGAATTAAAACTGCAGTAATTTACTGGAAAATTATAGCTCCAAGGTATACCAGTCTTAGTACATTTTTGTCATGTGTCTACTGTATATTTCATGGGAAAAGCTGAATGTATTATTGGTGAAAAGGTACTAAAACACAGATTTTGGTGACCTCAGAGCGTCCTTTTCTACAATATATTTATATGAAATAATATACAGTACCCAATTGTTGTACCCAATAATGTGATTATCCAGCTATCCCAGATGGTGTTCAATTATTATTTTTAAAATGGTACATTTACAACCGGACTATCAGCAGCAGTTTTCTCAGCTATTGTCTTCTATCGTGCATTTCAGGTACACTCCTATGTAGGCTTGAGGTAGGTCAATGACTCTCTAGGAAACAAACGATAAGGAAGACAGCCCTAGTCAAGTCAAGACTAGCAGATCTCTTATTTCTATTCTGATCTGTACATATATTGTTTAAAGTAACCCTGCCAGGGATTAAACAGCAGTGCCTTGTGAAAGAAGCAGATTTATACTTACTTGTCCATTGGCCAGTTATTTCTGAATTTCTGAAGTTTATTTCTGAAGCTTTGCTCTTGCAGAGCTTCATGTACCAATACTATCCAACACTACTGGGGTAGTGTTATAGTGTGCTCCCTAGCTGGCCACTGTGGTTCTTCCCCCTAACCTCTAGTCTCTGCAGGACTCAGTAAATATGTAGGGTTCAACAGGAGGAACCACAGGGATAAATGGAGAACATTCAATTTCACACACCCGGAAATGT